ATTTATTTATTTATTTATTTATTATTTCCGGTACCAGGAACCAAACTCACGACCTTGCGCTTGCCAGGCAGGCACTGTGCCACTGAGCTAGATCCCCAGCCCCAGTAATTCCTATTTTAAACCAATTTCTATTTCCAAGTCTAAGGACTCAAGAAAGATGTGGGAAAAGGAGAAATGGTGGCAATAAATACTTAATTATGACTAGCAAACAACAGACTTCAAATACAAACTTTATAACTATTATTTCAAAATCACTGCTCCATCCCTCTGACCAGTACTACCAGTTATCTATAGTGTTATCTGTAGGATACTCCCAGGGCCATACATACCTTTTTTTCTTGGTCTTTCTTTCTACATTAGTTTCTCCAATGCTGACAGACACAAGAGGAAAAAAATCTCCTGTTAATAGTGTGATTTCACTCAGAAAAATTCAGCTCAGACAAACCCTTCTGCTGTCTCCCAGGCTGTCTTACTTTAGAGAAACTGTCTCTTATAATCCATACCCAGCGCACAGTATTTCTTGCTATAACCAAGCGGCAAGTTTCCTATTTTAGACAACTTAATCAGTACTCAAGCAACAAATTTCATCAATGGTATCTTAAAGGCTGGGCAAGTTAGTAATTAAGATGATTGAATAAACATATTTAATCCTTTTTAAATCTGGACTTTAACTACTTAGTGAACAACCACCCAAAGCAAATAACACAATTTGAGTTCTCAGAGTCAATTTAATACTTCAAGACTATGCTTATTTAGGTATGTATGGGTGAGTGGGTGATACTGGGGGTTGAACCCAGGGCCGCGCACTGAGCTGTATCTCCCCACTTTTTAAATGTTCTAAATTTTGAGACAGGGTGTTGTTGAGTCACTAAGTTGCCCTGGCTGGACTCCAACATGCAATCTTCCTGCCTCAGACTGCTAGCTCTACGGGTGTGCGCTGCCACACCGTCCAGGCCCAGCATGGACGAGGGGAGGACAGCCACGGGAGACACGGGCGCCGAGGAGCAGGCTGCAGGGGGGCCTGCTGAGGGGCTGGGGCTGGTGAACACGGACCGCTCGCATGGTGCAGGTGAGAGGTCGGCTCAGCCTGTCACACAGGAATACTGGGGTCCCACTGGTGGCCGGGGAAGTCTGCATCCAGCCCCCGTGTTGGGGGCTGCTGGCTGCCTTAGACTGTCAGCGTGAGCAGAGTCACGTCCTGGCCTGGAGGCTTGAGCTCTGCTTCACATTCTTAGCTTGTGAGGAAGAGCCACGTGTCCTAAACAACAGAAAACTTCCTATTTGTGTATTTTTGTATTTTCGCTGTTTCCTTTCTCTTCACTTTCCTCCCACTTTTATTCCATGACTGGCCCTTTGAGAGCGTGTGTGAGGAGTGTGCTCCTCTCTTCCTCCAGCCCTTTTCTTCCTGGGTATCTTAGAGAGGGAAGGGAATCCTGCCTTTTCTTTTCATTCTTTCTACCCTTACCCATATCTTTCATCTGCCTTCTTTCTCGTTTCTCATCCTTCCTGTTTTTCTTTTCCTTCTTTTCCCCTTTCTTCCTCCATCTCCCTTTACCTTTTTCCTCCAATATTTATATTAGCCATAGGATCCTTTCTCATTCCCGTATCTTACTACCGATTGGAGGTCCAGGAGTGCCTGTAACCGCATTTACACGTGTAACACACCTCTATCACCATTAGGAGCCTTTGCCCCTGCCTGTTTCCTCCTTCCCATACCACACAGTAGAATGAAAAACCCAAAACCAAAACCAACCCACCTCTGGCATCATGTAGTCCCCATCCCTCTGTGCTTTACATAATTACTGTTGAATGCTTTTTTTAAAATCATAAGAGGAGACACAGCTGCTGCATTTAGCGCATTTGGTGCATTTGGGCTGTTATGATGCTTACGCTGTAACTGTGGATTTTTTTTCTCTAGGTTAAAGAAAGATCCAAAAGTGGGTCTGAGGGAATGTCCCAACTTGCCCAGACAGATACCACTGTAACTCACTAGCTTGTTACTACCATGACCGATGTGACCGCACAGGCACACGCCTGCCCAGGGGACAACACTGTGCCAGTGAATCAGACTGCCGAATCCCTCGCACCCAGGGAGAGGGGCAGCACGAGTTCCCAACCCAAGCACCGGACTGGATCAGACTCCGCAGGAGTGGCTGCAGCCTGGGAGAGCGAGGTCCTGAGTCTGA